GTGGCGCCGGCGGGGGGCAGAAGTTTGGGGGGGATCGGGACGGCGGGACACAGCGGGGCTCCGGGACACGGGAGCGCCGCGGCTCCGGGGCACCGCGATCGGGACAGCGGGACGCAGCGCGGCACCGAGGTACCGAGACACAGAGGGGCTCCGAGACGCGGCTCCGAGACGCGGCTCCGAGACGCGGAGGATCCGGGTACCGAGGCGCGGAGGCTCCGCGACACCGGAGCACCGAGACACCGGAGCACCGCGCTCCGGGATACCGGGACACCGGGCTCTGGGGCACCGGGCATCGGGACACGGCGGCGGCCGCGGGCGCTGTCCCAGGTGCTGACGGCGCCATCGCGCAACAGGGAGCGGCGCGGGCCGCGCCGCCGGTGTCGCCGCCGGTGTCGCCCCCGGTGTCGCCGCCGTTGTCGCCGCGGGTGTCGCCCCCGGTGTCGCGGCTGGTGTCGCCTCCGGTGTCGCCGTGGGTGTCGCCGCCGGTGTCGCGGCCAGTGTGGCGACCGGTGTCGCCGCAGGTGTCGCCGCGGGTGTCGTGGCCAGTGTCGCGGCCGGTGTGGCGGCGCGGGCYGCGGGCGCCGCGAGCTTGGCCGCGGTCGCTGTAGTGCCTCGCGGTGTGTGCGCGGCTGTGACCCCCGGCCCGGCCGCGCTGCAGCTTCACGCCGTGTGGGAAGTTGCTGTGGAGGGCAGGGGAGCTCTTCCCCGCAGCCCTTCAATGACATCTCCCCGCGAGGATGCTCACCCTCTCCCGAGAGGAAGGGCACCTCCGCAGCGCGGAAAGGGGCCTCCGAGAACACATAGAGGCGCCAGGAGAATGGAGCGCATGTGGTCCTGCTGTCTGGCCACCACCCTGCAAAACTTCCCAAACTTCCGAGCTGGGTTGCGAAGGGGCGGTTGGTAGCGGGGGGAGCTCAGGCTGCCAACGCCTTGCAGCGCAAAGCCGACCTGCATGCTCCCAAAGGAGCCCGCAAGCTGGCGTGGCAAGGCGAGCAAGCAGGCATGTTTAATTGTGAATTGCTCTTGAAACTTCCCCTTGCGAGCCTTTGCTGGAGCAAACTGACCTGGGCATTTGCAAAAGTAAAGACTKCAGGTTTCTGGGKTTTTTTTTCCCCTTMATTTTCTTCTTAAATCGAGTTTGACACCGATTCCCTGACCAGAGCCTTCTCTCCCTTGTTTCCACGCCCGCAGGCAGGATCCCCTAGCATGACGGCAGCCTCGGCCTGGCGGAGCGCGYTGCTTTGAGCCCTCGCTGCAATGGTGCCCGGAGCGAGCTGAGTGGCAGGCGGCTGGAGCAGGCGTCCCTAGCCCCGTGCGGGGGCCATGGGCCGGCCAGGGGAGCCCGCGGGRCGTCAGGGGGGCTGGCACGGTGCCACGCGGCCCGCGCTGCTCGCCCTCCTCGCCACCGCACTTGTGGAGCTGGCRGCGGCCTCGTCGGCGCGCTCCGTGGCGCGCACGGACGGCGATGTCATCATCGGCGCCCTCTTCTCCGTCCACCACCAGCCGCCGGCCGAGAAGGTGCCCGAGAGGAAGTGCGGCGAGGTGCGCGAGCAGTACGGCATCCAGAGGATCGAGGCCATGTTCCACACGCTGGATAAAATCAACGCCGACCCCGTGCTGCTGCCCAACATCACCCTGGGCAGCGAGATCAGGGACTCATGCTGGCACTCCTCGGTGGCCCTGGAGCAGAGCATTGAGTTCATCCGTGACTCCCTCATCTCCATCCGGGACGACAGGGAGGGCGGCAGCCGCTGCGTGTCCGACCCGCAAGCGCAGCCGCCGGGCCGGACCAAGAAGCCCATCGCGGGCGTCATCGGCCCCGGCTCCAGCTCCGTGGCCATCCAGGTGCAGAACCTGCTGCAGCTCTTCGACATCCCACAGATCGCCTACTCGGCCACGAGCATCGACCTGAGTGACAAGACGCTCTACAAGTACTTCCTCCGAGTGGTGCCCTCCGACACGCTGCAGGCCCGTGCCATGCTCGACATCGTCAAGCGCTACAACTGGACCTACGTCTCCGCCGTGCACACGGAAGGTAAGGAAGGAACCAGTGAAGCAGGGACGGAAGGAAGGAGGGAAGCTGGCCCCGGGAGGTTCCATTCAGCTTGAGCAATCCTTAAAAAAAAAAGGATTGCTCTGTTCAATTTGCTTATAATCAACAATTTTTATGATTTTTAATTTATTTCATTTAAAATTTAAGAGGAGAATGTCCCTTGGCTTACARCCTTGGTTTACAACAAGCTAGATGAGCCAATATAAATTATGGGAGTAATTGCATTTGAGAGAAGTCAAACTCCTGTGAGATATTGCTKTGACATTTCTCTAGTCCAGTTATTGTTTGGCAAATGAGTATTTTAAGTTCAGAATTGCACACCTGATCATATTATTGCTGTATCTTTGCAGTTACTCTCTTTGTCTGACTACATCTCTTTTTTATATATATATTAAATTTGATTTATGATTCCCTCTAGTAACTGAGCTGACTCTGCTCCTTTTTTTTAAAAAGAGATGGCTAAGTAAAAAGTGTTAGGATTACACACTGGTATGAATAATATAAAAGAGTCTAAAGTAAGCATTGCAAATTCAACATTCGAAGGGGAATTGAATTAAAACTGAACTTTTAAAACATGAACATGCTGCAATTTTGAAAGAAAAGGTTTAGGAATGAAGCAATGACCTGACATTGGCAGTTCATTTTCTGCCCTGTCACRGAGGAAAAAATGACCTGCTCTAAAGAGGTAAACTTGAGCTATTGAGATTCTTTGCTGCTGAGAGATGTGATTAGGTCGTGTGGCAAGCCAGGGTGGAAAACAAGCATCACAGGGGTGAATGTTCTGTGGTGGTAAATTGCTGTATCTCCCCCCAAGCCRTATCTCCCTTCAATGCCCTTCCGGGGAGCTCTGCTTGGCAGTTAAGGCAGTTGGGATCTGTCTTAAGGCATCTCGGCTCTCTGTGTGTAGATGCAATTCTCATCAGCGTTAGTGGGACTTGTCTCTTTTGGAAAAGACAATAGATTACGAGGGATATGTGTTCGTTTTTAAGAGGTGATTTTAAGTAGCAATTTGTAAGTAGCATTGCTTGTGAGAATTTTTAGCTAATTATCCATTTTTACAAACACGTTGCTGAGTGACAAGGAATGCTGGTTGCAATGTATTCTTCTACTATTGAGGCTGATGCTTTTGAAAATAATAGCTCAGTTCTATCCTGCAAGAAGACAGTCACCTCATGCTGCAGATAATGCAGCTCCAGTTTCACATATATATATATATATATATATACACATATATTTAAACCTGGACTTTTTTTTATCTGTTAAGCTACAAACTCTGCTGGAAATACGCAGTAAATGTCTGTATTTGCTTTCCAAAAGAATAAGCTAATGACTCCACCCTAACTGCTTTACTGCTATTGCTCAGTTTCCAAAGCCTCTTTTTTCTTTCTTTCTTTTTAAAGTGAAAATAGTGCTTGTGAAAATTGCTCYAAGTTGTTTATATTTCTATTGTTTAAAATCTCATGTAGTCTCAGTGAGGGACCTGCTTGCTGGTGTATTAAAGGTGGACTCGCTCTAGGCAGACGCTTCAAAACCACATTGAACTGTGTGAGCAGGGGCTGCTCCACCCCTGCTGTGTTTGCAGTTACAGGGATTAGGCATGGTTAGAGACATGGCCCCATTCCTCCACCACACTAACTCATAGGCCTCTTCCTCGTCTTTGTGGTGGGCTGCAAAATGTGCTGGAAGGAATCCTACGGTGGTAGAGGTTTGGAAAACCATTTCAGATGTGAAAAATGGGCATATTTCTAGGAAATGTACATTTTTTTTCATTGAGAAAAAAAAAAAAAGTTATTTTGTCCACCTTTTGAGCATTTCAGATCTTGCCTAACTGCTTCCTGGTCTGAGAATCGCCCTTTGGTTTCTACCAATCCCTAGTTCTCCTGTGGATGGACAAYCCTCAGCTCCTGTAGCTGCCCAACCACAAGGGGATGCAATGAGACCACTAACTAACCCGGCTACCTGTGCAGCAGGTAGCTCCTAGCAGAGCTCCTAGCAGATCTCCTCCCTCAACACTGACCCCGGGAGGGATCCTGGAAATAACCCAGAGGCGACCATGTCTGTCTCAGATAGCTCAACTCCTCCATTCCCCTTCCAACTATTTCGTAGTTGGCATTATGTGAATCCCCAAAACAACACCACTATGCAAGATTTCACTTTTAATAAAATTCAGAAATAAATCTTGTGAAGTTCAATGCCCATATTCCTTAATACAAAGTCTAAACGTGCAGTCAGAATTCAGAGATTAAAARTCATCCTATCTGCAGCATGATATTTTTAATTAGTTCTGAGCACTCATCTTCATATTTAACATGTGGAAATTCATTCTCCATGTGTTTATGCCATTAGTGGTGACAACATTCAGCTGCATACAGTCTTGGCACACAGGTACGTAAAGTTGCATGGAAGCGTGCCATGCCTATGCTTTGCCCTGTTATTTACTGAGATGTAAAAACATTGTGTTTGGATAGGAGCTTCTATGCTAGTGAAGAAAATATAGTTTTAAAAGGCCCACATCATTCATTTTAGAATAAAATTAGCATGTAAAGCTATGCATGCAARAACAAATAGGCTCCTATGGCAAGCTACTATGTTTGATTACGGTGTATCTCAGCTGAGCATACTTGCACATCGTGAAAGCGCATTTTTTAAGCACTCATGAAATGTTGTGAGAAAACCATCCCTGTGGAAATCAGTGTAACTGTAGAGTAGCTGCAAGGCATTTTTAAGGCTACATTTTTTAAGTACTCTTCAAAAATAATTCAGCGCTGGAGCTCTTGGCATGTGTACATCTTCTCAGCTCTTGTAATGAGAAGTCGTTCTTATCCAGAAGTGTGTGCAAGTGGATACCCAGCTCTGAGCAGAGACATCCTACTGAAATCAAAAGCACCAAAAGCACATGCATTAAACTGCACACAATCTTATGTGTTTCTCCCATGTTTAGGTCTGAATGACACCTAGCGATCATGGTAAATACTCAGGGCATATTTTACCACCCTTACTAAGGGCTATTTTCCAAGAGAGAGATTTTGGTCTTCAGTGAGACAGCCCCTGAGTCAGACATTGACAAGAACCTATCCCTCACCTTCAGCCATTCCTTTATGCAAYAAGCAGCAGAGGTGATGGTGTAAGAAGCCTTTTTGCTGCCCCATCTTCCAAGAAGATAACTCYGCGCAAAGCAGATAACTAACTCAAGCAAATAGAAATGCTTAGTGCTTGTCGCAGTGAAAGAAACSTGGCTTTTCGTCTCAACCATTGCACATGTGTTAGCCTTAAAAACATATGTAAGATCTTTGTTCCCGTGTGTGTGCAAAATCTGAATGTGCAGAACAGATCCGTTTAGGTGCCTTTTGGTGTTTATAGATTGCTCTTGCAATGCAGTAGGCAAAGATCCATTTATATATAAAATTTCCATTCCAACAGATTAATGTACAGACTTTGTAGAAATGTCTTTGGAAAGGTGCCACTTGCGTTACCTTCACCCAATTCTGATTGCTTGTAGGTTAACTTTACTTGTATCACTGAGGCGTTTCTGGTCTCGATCAATTTTGTCAAAATGCTATTACAAGGCTGTTCCTTTTGCTTGAGTAAAAGGCTCGAAATGAGCTTTGATGAAACAGATGCTAGAACTGTAAAGATTTTCTGATCAAAGTAGCGAGTGGGAGATTTAATTATTTTCACAATGATTTTTGATCACCAGACCGCCACACACTCTCCATTGTAGTGACATACAGGAGACTCATAAACATGATTCTGCATGTTAGCAAAGGTTGGAAGGGATTGATCTTGGCACTTAATTGCAAATAGCACAGGTAAGCAAGTCTTGGGGGCAGGGATCACCAAAGCAGCTCTGGATGAGTTGGTAAATAATATTTCTATTTAAAAATATGCAGGGCACTATGTCAAAATGCATCACGTAGGTACTTTCCCMAAAAAAAACATGCTTTCCCAGAGGAACCATATTTCTATTCCTTGGTACAAAACACAAATGCACAACACATTAAATATTATATATAATTAAATATATATTAAAGGGGAATCATTCCTGATATCTGCATGTATGCATTTGCATAATATTTTTTTCTCATACATAGCTTCAAAGCAATTACACCGATTCTAACCACTGGAGAGCTTAGTCCAATAGCTTTAATATCCACTAAATGGCTTGGGGAATAACTTTCTTGTACGAGGTCTGTGGTTAATTTATCACGAGTGTTGCTACAGCTCTCTTTTATAGTGGTATATCGTTAATTTCATGGTATCACTGAATGATTGATCCTTCCTAATAAAACTGTGGTCAAGTAATAGTGAACATCAGTTCCATTTCAAATATTTGAAATTGCAGAGTTCACAAACAATTCTCTTGGTATTAATAGCTATGAGCATTCTGTTAAAAGTCAGGAAGTATGATTTATGTCTGAATGTGTGCTAAAAAATGCATACTCCAGCCTATTTTTTTTCTTTATTTAATCAGCTTCCGTAAGCATCACCAGAGACTTTGTGATAGAGAAAAACTAGAGAAATAAGTCCTAAGAGAAATAGGAATTATCTTTAAAGCAAGCAGGCACTAGCATGTTCCCTGCATTTGATGAATTAATTATATTTATTGTGTTGGGAGAATCACTTATTTTGATGGAAGCTGACCAAATTATTATGAGTGAAAAGCACCATTGAAGTTCAAGAGAAATTCCTTTTTGAAAAGATGTTGTTTTGCAGCATTACTAAAAATGTAGGTTTTCAGCTGCACAACTCGCAACTGTATGGGTTAAATCAACTCAAAAGACTCATCTAACTTCTGTCCCTGCCTTCTCAGGATTATTGCTAGAGCTCATATATATCAGTTGACACCATAGGTTCATTTGTGCCATTATTTCTTTTTTTCTGTGTAATCCCCTGGAATTTAGATTCGTATGTCCCATGGTCCCTGTAAACTGCAGGATTCTTCTCTCAGTTAAAACTGCTGTAAAAAAAGCTGAACGACCTCG